GCGCCCGCTGGCGGGTGGCGGCACGGGTGCTGCCCGCGGGGCATCGGGCGAGCAGCCCCGGGGGGCAGGTGTGGGACCTGGCGCAGGCGCTGCGGGACGGGGTGCTGCTCTGCCACCTCCTCAACGCTCTCCTGCCCCGCGCCGTGCCCCCCCGCGACATCTGTCCCCGTCCCCAGATGTCACAGGTGCGACCGGGGGCAAATACCCACCGGGGGGGGGTGTGTGGAACTGCCCCAGGGTGGGGTAATTGGGGGGGTAATTGCCCCGGAAAGGGGTACGGGGGTGCTGGTTCCAGCGGGGATGATGGTGACAGTGACGATGGTGACAGTGACAATGCCAGGGCTGGTGTGAATGAGGGTGATGGCAATGGGGTGATGGCGATGACGACGGGGACGATGGTGGTGATGGTGACAGTGGGGGTGATGATGATGGTGGCGATGCTGGTGCCAATGGGGGTGACGATGACAGTGACAACAGGGTTGATGGTGACAATGACGGGTGGTGGAAATGGGGATTATGGTGATGGTACCAATTGACAAAAGTGTTGACAATGGGGATAACGATGATGGTGACGGTGACAATGATGGGAGTGACAGTGATGGTGACAGTGATGACAATGATGTTGGTGATGATGGGGGTGACTATGATGGTGTCAATGAGCGTGATGTTGATGGTGACAGTGACCATGGGGGTGACGATGACCATGACCACAACAATGATGGTGATGATGATGGTACTGGTGCCAGTGAGGATGCCAGTGACAATGACAATGATGGTGTTGGTGACAGTGACGATCATCGTGATAATGGTGGTGCTGGTGCCAATGAGGATGACAGTGGCAGTGATGGTGTTGGTGACAGTGACGATCATGATGACGTTGGTGATGGTGCCAATGGGGGTGACAGTGACAGTGTTGGTGATGTTGATGAGGGGGTGACAGTGGCGATGACAGTGTTGACGACAGATGATGGAGGTGCCAGTGTCAATGGTGGCGACGATGGTGGTCACAAATGGGGGAAGAGGATGGGGTTGATGGTGCTGATGGGGGTGACAGTGGCGGCGACAATGATGGTGATGGTGACAATGGGGGTGCTGATGGGGGTGATGGTGCTGGTGACGGTGACACGGTGCCACCGCAGTTCCTGTGCCTGAGGAACATCCGCACCTTCCTGACCGCCTGCGCTGACAAGTTCGGGCTCCCGAAGCACCGGCTCTTCGGCGCCTTCGACCTCTTCGATGTCCAGGACTTCGGCAAGGTGGGACTCAGGCGTCCGGGTCAGACCTGGGGGGGAACCCAGGCATCCGGCTCCTGCCCCTCCCCTCCTCAATGTCCCCTGTCTGTCCCCAGGTGATCGACACCCTCTCGACGCTCTCCTGGACCCCCATCGCCCAGAGCAAAGGTTTCACGTGAGTGCAGGGGACCCAGGCGTCCGGGCCCCCTCCCCAAGGGACCCAGGCGTCCAGTCCCCGAGGGACCCAGGCACCCAGGCTGTGTTGTCCCCCCCCCCAGGCCCTTCCCTACTGAGGACTGCATTGGGGACGATGACATCTACAGCGGCCTCTCTGACCTCATCGAGTGAGTGGGGCAGGTTGGGGGGCGTTAGGGAGGTAC